CCAGCACTATGTCAGAATCATTTTTTTTATCTTGCCTATGGTAAAGGCTTTGACTACTTTTTCTTCACTCCAAAAACTCAGTTGTGCTGATTTTCATGTTCTTTACACAGCACTGGACGTATCAACATGTTACAGAAGAGTAGAGAAGGTTGTATTTATGTGGTTCAGTTCCGCATGCAGTGTAATTAAACCTGGTTCTTACTGTTCTATAGACCATTTGTGGCTGGCAGCAGACCATATGGGCAAGTAGCAGATGTTCCCTTTTAGTTTTCCATATGACTGTATAAATGCCCAACATGTGAAAATTAATTTTCTGGCAAGAGGTGTTATGGGGGACTGTGGCTCCTTTTGTGCTCTACACATTTCACTCAGATTTCCTGGGGCTCTCCTTTTATCTCCAGGATGGTTATTCAGTCTCTTGGTGGAAAAAAAGTGAGAACACAGTTAATGCATGCAGGTTTTAAGCCTGGCAACTAATGTCTCAAGTGCACTCTAGTGAGAGTTCATTTAGCTTTTTTAACCTTCCCCTGTAAATTAAGGACTATTTGGTAGCCTTCTTTTCTGTGCTTTACAGTACCGTGGGGCATGGCTACACTCTGATATATTTTATATTGAAGTAGTAAGAGAAGCAAGCACCTTGTGTTCTCACTGATACCAAGGTATTCCTGAAAACCATACAGCAAAGCTGAATGCAACAAAGACAAATACTGGATCAAGAATTATTATGAAGAAGATTTTTCTCCTAACTTTGAGGAACACTGGCCTTCAGCTTGCTTTACCAAGTGCTCTCAGAACCTTGGGAAAGCAATGCCACAGAAAGCCCAGCGAGAGCAGGGGTGACCAGAGGGCTGGATCACAGCAGGAGGACAATCCACATGAGACTGCAAAAGGCTTCTTCTGGGGCTAAGTGCCTTGCCTGGTCCAGCCCATAACTTGCAAAATACTACAGAGTCTTCTGGCATGAAAAGAACTGAATAAATGCAAGCTGTTATCACTTCTTCTGAGTACACAGAGACTTACTCCAGTTAGCAGAAACTTCAGTAAGGCTCTTTAAGAAAGAGGAAGCGAGCCCAATGCAATGTTTTTAAATAAACATATTTCTGGGATTTTTATTTTCTCCATTTTACTACAAAGTAAAAACTGAAGTAAGCATTGCATTTTCCCCCCGAGCTTTTACAGGGGTGTCCTAGGTTGACTGTATGATGCCTTTATCCCCAACTGTCTGCCCTGTTTATGTTGAATAATAAGTTTTGCACCTTTAAGGCTTGTTCCAGGAGTGAAAGGGGGGGAGAAGTGTGGAGTTTGTTCTCAAGAACTGCACTCCCTCCTCCACATTCCTGCTCCTAGACTGTGTTGTCTGCAGACAGACAGACAGCGAGACAGAGCTCTCCTTTGCTTTTCTAGTTAGTTGTAGCTAGCTGAGGCAAAGAAGTTCCCTGGACTGTGGTTTTTTTCCCTTTCTCTGGACCTGCTCTGAACTGAACACCAGCAGAGCAGCAGCAGCAGCACCAGTGGCCCAGCGGGCCGGGCCTGGGCTGTGGCATTTCCAGCACCAGAGGGACTGAGCAGAGACTGAGTGAGCCCAGCTGCAGCCCAGGGGATCTTTCTGAGTTTGTCTCTCTCTCTGGAGTAGCAAGAAGTTTTATTATTTAATATTGTTTAAGTTTGCTTGTTTAATAAACAGGTTTTTTCCACTTTTCTCCAAAGAGGTATCTTTCCTGAACTGGTTGGGGGAAGGGGCCAATTGAATCTGCTTTCCTAAAGGAACCCTTTTGGGGTTCTTTTCCCAAATTTGCTCTGAACCAGGACAAGGGGTTCACAGCACATTTGCTCCTTAGCACTGTTTTTCAGATTGTGGGAGGGTATGCTCTATTTTGCCAGATAGGTGACTTTTAAAATAGCAGCATATTACACGTTCAGGAGTAACTTCCCTATTGGCTAGGTCAAGCTGTGAAGAATCAGCCAGAGCTGGATTTTCCCTGGCAGCTATCACTCAATAGTTTCTGCTGTTAAAAGGAGAAGCTCTTCTGAATGCTTCTGCCGAAGCTTTCAGGATATCTTAGGCCACATGTGCTATTCATTTAACTCCACAATAATGGTTTCATTTACTGTCTGGAAGTAGGAGGAAGATACATGATATTATCTTTGTAGTCTCCATTCTTTCTGTGATTGGTAGAATAAGATTAAAAAAACCAAAACAGATTGTCAGAAATTCAAAAATATTACTGATTCTTGCAATGCAATTTTGATTCTGACTTTGATAGCAAAAAAGGACACAAAAGTGGCCTCATATCCTATTATCAAAGGAAGAAATGTAAACCCAAAAGAGACAAATTAGTACGTGCTTCAGCATTCAGCTGCAATCCAAGATAAAAGCTTCTGACTTCATTTAGTTTCACTAAAACCCCTTAGGTGGTGACAGTTGTGTGTAACAGGAAGGGATTACAGTACTGAGCTCATTCCAGTGTTCCTGACAGTTCTGTACACAGAGATCACTTGGTGGCTGTTGTATCTGCTGTCCATCTCAAACACCCACACTCCAGCAGGAACAGGGAGAGGAATCTGGAAAAGGCTTTGGAATCACAATCACAATGGAGACCTGACATCATGCCCTTGCTTTGGTCATTCCATAGCATTCTGGGTGCAACAGTTTAGCTGAATTCCTTAATTTTTTTCATGACAGACAAGATGACTGTGTCACAGTGAAACTCCATGCCAAAGGAGGGTAATAAATATGCTCACTTAAAACCTTATCCTTCTGCTAGCACTGGGGATGTTTTGTTCAATTCTGGAGCAAGGAAACTCCCATGTAAATAACACACACTAAACCATGCAGCTCAGGAATACAATGTGATCCTTGTATGAGGTCTGAAGCTGTATGTATCACTGGTTCGGGGGATTTCTACCCAAATCCAGTAAATCTAAAACAGTAGTCAGGGATATTTTGGAAACAAGGCATTAGAACAGCTGTGTCCATCTTCCTCAAAGTTTAGGCCACAAGATTGTAAGCAGTATCACAATACTCTCTTTAATTTTAGCAAAGAAGGTGTTAAGTCCAGCAGTTCACTGTTTAAACAAAAAATCTACTTCATTCCTTTGAAGAAAAACCTAACTGTTAGACCTATGAGCTGCCAAAAGCAACATAGCCAGCACTGAGATTTCCATAAACATCTCCTGACATTGCACTGTCCTCATTGCAATATTATGCTGAGGCACAAATATTCAGACCACAGATCTGGTAGATTCTAGAGTTTCCAGCAGACTCCATTTGAATAATTTAGGCAGTGAAGCTGGTAGGAGGAAAAATGAAATGAAGCCTATTGAATAGTTTTTCTGGCTATTTTAATAAGTTTAAGTACTTGCATTTACAAACTCTTTTGGGGCATTTTAGTATTAGGCAATACACTTTACTGTTTTTGAATTTGAAAATGAGAATAATGAATATATGAATACATGAAAAGTGAAGAATTTCAGTTATGAGTTTACTACCTTCTTATTACTTTCCTGCACTTTTAGATCATGGCAGAATTCTAAGTCTGTTCTGTGACCAGAGTGACAATTCCTTAAAGAAGAATTGCCTGTGACTGCCTGCATCCAAGGTGAGACATGTGACGTAAGATATTTTTAACACTGCTACCAAAAATAAAAAAGTTAGTGTGAACCACTCAGCAAATGAGATCTAACTATAGTTTTCTCAAGAGAAAAGGCTCCCTCTGAGAATGACCAAAAAAAGGTGGAAGGAGTTGATGAACTTCGCTCATTTTTTGTATTTCAGCAATCTTATTACTACATATAAGTTCATAAGCAGAAATCATTGTCATGGCTCCAGAACAATCCTGACATTACTGAGTTTAGTACAATGGGTGATCACAGCTCATATTCAGTGGAGAGACAGAAATACAGCTCTCCCTGCTATACAGTAAAGTACACTGGGGGCTCAGTGAACCAGAATCTTCCCCAAAATCAGCTTAGCAGCACTTGGATTTTCTGCCCATAGAGAAGTGGAGCCCCAATAGCGCTAAAGCTAGTTTAGATGCATCTTTGAAGACAATGATTACACCACTGAAGTCCAAAGTTAACAAACTCCTGCCAATACTATTGCTCTTTTATAAGATATACTCATAAAAATACTGACAAATACTGTGATTGAATTGAAGGGGAAAGGTTTTTCACTTCTCTCCAATTTATAACCAAGTATTGTATATTTTAACATGATTTCTTCTATTTAATCCAACATTGTCTAATACATAGGTTTTATATGACATCTATGCTTAACTAAGGCAGAGTGAAACTCAAAGCAGAAAATACTTTTCTATGACAAGAAAATATCAAATATATAACTTGCTACTACAGCAAATATTTCTGCTATAAATTTTCAAAGGGTGTAGGTATACATGCTGAAGATCAGCAGTAGTCAAAATTCTATTAAAAAATAGATTAAAGACATTAAAAGAGCGAAGAAAAAGAATGAACTAGAGATGCAAATTGGAAATTAAATTATGGATGGGAAACTTAGGATGAACTATGAGGGAAAGTTAAGAGAACAATGGTAGGATAATAAGCAAAGATGATGGGACATGAAGAGACAGTAAAGGACTGTCTGCTAAAGGAGGTAAAATCAAAGATGCAATATAGAAAGAAGAGATTTAAAGAAGGTAAAAGAGACTTCAGAAAATCCTAGACAGGATATTTAGAACAGCTTTTGTTTGCTCATATATGTTGCCACTGAATCTGATACAAAGGAATTAGGTCAAGATGGATAATTTAGGAGTAAAAAAATCTGAGCTTTTTTCAAACAACTTTATGTATGTATACAATTTATGCATATATTACTTCCTGGTTGGTGAGGAGTGTCATTCCTTAATGGCACCATGGTTTTTTTATGAAACCAAATGCTGCAAACAAAGAGGGTGTAAGTGACCCATCCCCACTAATGCCAGTGGCTTAATTAGTCCCTTTTCTAAGTCGAGCTGATGGATCCCTGCAGCTGATTTACCTACCAGCTGTGTAATTCTGCAAAAGCAGCTTTGATCTTCTTAACTGAATTATCCACTTCCTCTTTGATCATCACACGATATCTGGTTAGAGAAACAGTGCAACGCTGCAAGTCTTTTACTGACTTTTCAATGTTTGGCCCTAAAATAGAAAACAAAAATTGCACGGTAGTCAGAAAGTTGGTTTTAGTTTTTCTGAACATACTATTTGCCCAGATTAGAGTGAAGTCCATAAATCCAACCTTTTCATAGTCCCTCCTTAGTGTTGTTCAGTTTCTAAACATGTTTACTGAAATGCATCCCCCAATTAGAAAGGCATTATTAATTTAAATTATTCAGTTTAATATGTTAAATAGAGCATAAATTGTTTAATTCATTTTGTTATAATTCCTCTTGTACTTTCCAACACATCTCTTTTTAAACTTTTGTGAATTCAGGCTTTTTTCCTGGAGGCCTCAGCTGTTTTTGACCTCAGAACACAGGAACCAGAGACCAAATTTACCTCTTTTTTTGACTGAATCATCTGTCTTTGTTTCAAGTTGGGTTGACACATTGGGTGATTTAACTGAGGAAGATTTTGACTTTGGCCTGCCTAGGTTACACTGGAGCTGAACTGGTGACTGACGGGGCTCATGCTGTTCTACTCCATTCACAGTCTTTGGGCTTGATTCCACAGGTACTCTCTGGCGTTCTCGTTCTCTGTCTGTAAGAAAGCATTAAGGAAGAAAACAGCAAGTTGTAAGATTAAGAAAGGTATGAAGCCTTACTGTTAAGTCAGAATGACTTTATGTGTTAAGTCAGAATGGCTTTATGGTGTTCTCCTGGCACACATTCCACAGAACCTCAGAGAGCTATGACAACAAATGAAATTGTTTTGGTAATTAAACACTAATGGGAGCACTTCCTTATTTCACAACAGTGTATAAAAGAAAAACTCAATAAAAAAATCAACTCTTTCATGCCAATGGGGAAAACACCTCATAACATAAAAAGCATGCTACCAATTACAATATTAGCTCAAATATGCATATATATATATAATACACCAAAAAAATGTTCCTAATTTTACTAAAAGCATTTTAAAAGCACTGACTGAACATTCCTACCTGAAATACTTACCTTGCCCGACTACAGATTTCTATCAAAAGCTGCTGCTAAGAGGAACCAAGCAGGAAATGAAAGTATGTCAAAGATTAGGCTCCTGGGTTCAACAGCTTCAGAGGGATAAGATAACAATGTCTGAGCCTGTTTGGCTGCCACAAGACAACCTGGTTTCCTCTTTCCAAAACTTCAAAGGGATTCAAGATACTAGCATCATAATAGAGGAACAAGCAGCCAAAGCATGACTGTGAAAACTGACAGGAAAGGCCAGCTATTACTGCCACTCTGAACTTTAGTTAAGGTAACAAGCATAGAAAGTGATTTGTTGTGTTAACTCATTTTTCTAATTTTTGTACTCACTTCAATGAATTAATGATTCTTCATTCTGAAGATGCTTTTTATGCATCACTTTATTCAACTGATGATGCATGGTGTCTGGAGAAAAGGGACTTGTCAGATTAACAACTGGATTACAGTCCATGGAATGGGATAAACACTGCTGGGATTGAGTGATATCACATGGACAAGCATAGCATATAAACCTGTGACTTCTTTCTGCCCAGGCTGGGCATTTGGACAGGTGGAAAGCACATCTTGGTATATTTAATGGCAACCATGTAACACCAGAGGAAGAAGGAACATCAATGCTCATACTTTAAATCAGCTTTTAAGGGCTTTAAAAGGTTGAGTCTGAAAACAGAAAACGTATCTTGCATAAAACAGTATGTTAGAAAGTAATGAAAGTAGTCAAGGAAACCTGTGAACCTGTGAAAGCAAGAAACACCAGTAATGCAGTGCTCTGAACATGTCCAAGGTTTGATGCCAACGCTGGTCTCACACACACTGAAGAACACTCCTGTGAGAGAACTGCCACTAACCCTGTTCAACTCTGGCTGCATCTCACACTAACGCAAATAGAACATTCTTTATAAATCTAGGCTTTCTACTCTCAGTTGAGGTTGCCCTTGCTACATAACTCTAACAGCGAATTAGAAGCCAGCAACCTATCAGCTAACCTATAAAGAAAGGCCAGGGCTCTTTAGCTTCTGTCCAAAACTACACACAAGCTACTTTGAAACCCAGCAGAAAGATGACCAACATAGGCTAGCAAACAGTAGCTTTGTATGCTGCAACTGAACTTCCAAATTTGACTGAAGATAATCAACACAACTAAAAATATATTGAAAAAGTCTGTAGCAAGTCTCTGAAGACTTGTACCAGCTAAGACATGTGTAAAACAAAATCTAGGTACAAAGTCTGTCAAATATCTGCATGGGAAGTCAAACGTCTGGATAAGACTGCAAGTAAGCTGTTACATGGTTCAGTATGTGGTGGCTTGGAACTTCAGCACCAGTCTACCGTGTGACATCTGCTGTATTAACAGTCAAGTATGACCACACCTGCCAGTTAATAGCATCAGCCCAGGTTAACTTGCTCTGAAATGTGCTGAGCTGCCATCTTCAAAATGAGTGGTTTATCTTTATGGAGCAGCTTGCCATTCAACGCTTTTCAAATCAAGTGAACCTCAGAGATTCTTTGGCTGAAGGAAGAAAAAGGCCATATGTTCCCTGAGATAGAAACAGGAAGTTTGAAAGATTAATTAAAAATCTTCCTACATGAAAAGTTAGTAGGGGAGAGATCAGGATCTGATTTTACCAAGGTCCCTGCAAAAGCAATAGCACGGCAAGGCAACACTAAATAGCCTTTCAGTGCATTCACACTGCTTCTTTATAAGGCAATACACAGCAAGGGTAACAACAATGAAAGACATCTAAGCAAAAGAAAGATGGAATAATGGCAAGACGTAAGCACACCTGAAATGCATGTAAATAGCCAAATGTTCCCCTCCCGAATTTTCTATGGAGAAATGCTGCATCCTCCCCTTCTGGCTCCTGAAGCTCCTTCCAGGCTGCCAGGATTTTATGGCTTTCAAAGTCCTCACAGACTGGGAATTGGTATATAGGCAAAGCTTAAACCTCGTGTTTACAAGGCAGACAAGGACAATGCAAAGGAGATTACAACACAAGAGAGAGCAATATCAAACAGGTGCACTTTGGACTCACTTCAACCTTTTGCACTGCTTTAGAAGGGTCTGTATAACTTGCTCAGAAACTGCAAGGGCACAGCTGATGGTCCCTGAAGGATCCTGATCACTTCAGCACAAATGTAACAATAGGAATATAGGTGGCTTTTGACTCTAAGAAAGTAGTTAATATACTGACTGCAAAGGATACTAGTGCAATTGAAAGTGAAGATGAAATAATTTTTTTCTATTAAAAATCGCACCAGGAAATTATTTTACTCTGTAAGGGGAACTTTAATATTCAAGTTTCAGGTTTTCCTTTATTTCATTTCCTTTCTTTTCTGCCTTTTTTTTTGAACGCTCTCTCTCCCCCTTGTTATTTAAACAGGAGAGATGTGTTTAAGTTGAAAAAAAATTGTAAAGCTATGATAACTTCTCATTTGCCACTTGCAAAAGCAAAGAAAAATGTTGAGATACTTTTTGCCCTTTATATGTACAACTAACTCTTACCTGTTTCAAAGAGGAAAAAAAGCAAGATGCAATCCCACTGACCCACAAAAAGATCACTAACAGCATGAGTACTCTTCTTGCATTCTGTACCCCCTAGAAAACACTCCCCATGCACAGGCAATTAAGTCTACATACCTTTATTCATGTATGTATCATTTTAAAAAAATTACACTCTAAGAAGTCTGATTTATACTACAAATGTTTGTGTCTTGCAAGATAAGTGACAAAAATGCTTTTAGTATCATGGAAATGCATAATTTTCTGGCTTATGGCACATTTTATCCAAAGTTAAGTGGAAGTCTAGCAAGGGCTGGGAGCATATCTCTGGTTCTTAGTGAACCATCAAACTTTTAGGACAAAATTTCTTGCTAAGTAGTTTATTTGGCTGCTATAGGTTGCATAGTCTTCATTTAATTAACCAGAGGCTGGCAGCACTAAATCATCTGAAAGTAGCAGATAATTCATTTCAGGACAATTATTACTTCGGAACATTCCTTTAAAATGGGGTTTGAGACCTGTATTTGCAACCATGGAAAAGGGATTTCAAGGAAAGGTCTTAAAGACACAGGAAGAAAATACTAACAGCAGCAATAATCCAGGCCTGTCAGACATCTGAAAGATTGAAGAGCTGAAGAAACAGTACAAGTACTAACAACAATTAAATATGAGCTTTATGAACTTGTAGGCAAAAGCCTTCACAGAGCTTCTGCCCCAGAGCAGTGAGTCTGTTCACACTGTCTGGTATAATCTTAACTCTGTACTTAACCACAGTGTGGAAGAACCTTCCGTGTTACTGCCCCTCCCAGTTTCAGAAATGGTAACTAGATAACTAGACCCTATGAGAAACTAAGTGCATGTACTAAAAAGCTATCACTGCCTTTCCACACCACAAAGGCCCTTCCTTCCCTGCTAAGAAAAGCCAGTGGAGGTCTACTGTGACTAGCCTGTGTAGGGAAGATGAGAAAATGAAAAAAAATTGACTAGTTTGGACTAAACAATAAAGAAATCCAGTAATATGCCACAAGCTCATAGCGCTCAGATATCTTTACCCCATATGAGGGACTTAATAATTTTACTAACTGTTTGACACTCAAGCCACTTTCTAACCCTGCATTCTTCTATATTTCTACCTGCAATATTCTGTATCAGCTGGGCTGTCTATAAGAGAAGAAATACATTTTACAAGGAAACATATTACAAGATGAATAGTGTGCAGCTATAAATCTACTAGCATGACACAGATAGTTATGTGCATTATTTTTCCATAAAAACATCTCTACAACATCTTCATGGCAATAAAAACACTATGTGTTATATCAATGAAAGCTTGGCTACTGCCAGTTGGAAATGTGCTCTCTGTCAGAGGAACTGACCTCTGATTTCTGGACAGTTCAGTGCCGACCCTACAAATGTGGAGCCTTTGTTCTCAAGAGAAGTGCTTTCCAGTTTCTGATTGGCAGAACCACGGCCAGAGGTGTCCTTAGGGCATCCATTCATATGACAATCATTTATTCGCTGAGGCTCTTGAGATGCCTTCTCAGGTCCACTATTCTTGTTTTTAGGATCTTTATTACCTTGGTGCTGTTTAGATTTGCTTCTTTTTCTCCTATTGTTCTAAATGGAGAAATAGCACAAGAACAGAGACATCACTAAATGCAAATCGTACAAACTCAAAATAAAATCAGTAAATTGAGCACTGTTAAGTGTCTGTGATTATCCAAGATACAGTTTTTTACTAGAAGCATTTCTGTGCATGGGCTGTTTTGGGATTTGTCCTGTGCTTGTCCAGGGTCCCACACCCAGGTACACACACATGTGCTGCCCCAGAAATTTGCTCAGAACACTGGGCTTAGTGATACAATAACAGAAGAATAGGATTAAAAATAGTACACACATTTACTTTCAAGTACTGTTTACAGGTGTGAATGAAGTCATCTGTGCTGGAAAAGGCCAACTACTGACCCAAAATAGTACAATTCAGGTACAGACAGCTGACAAGTGATTTAAATGACTTGACTCTCAAGAGCAAGTTCTTACCTTCTTTCTCCCTGTCATATTCCATTCCTTTAGAACTTGAGTTGCACTGCCTAGAGAAAGATAAAGCATTTCAACAAAAGTTCAGCTATGAAAAAGAACCAGTGTGTTCATGATCAGTTTCTAGTCTCCTAGATGAGGAGCATTTCAATTTGTTGTGAATTCTCTTATGTGGGGAGAACAAAATGGACATTGCTGCCTTTCTTCTTCTCAGTTACCTGTTTTGATTTCACTGCTTACAGTGGATTGTCTTACTTGGCACCACTGGCTTTTTATGGACTTCATTGCACAATGTAATTGTGTGCCTATCTTAGAACACTAGCATAACACCCAGAAAAATCAACACTCAAATCTCTTACCTGAAAAGGAAAGTATCTCAACAGTGAGTACACTTAATAGTCCACCTAAGCATATGAAAGTTCTAAAAACTTTTGGCATTTCTATCACATATTTTCTATGTATTACCTGTCATCTTCAGAAGATTTAAGAGTATGAAAAGTAAAGAATTAGCAACCAAAAGAGTAATTTTGTGGACTCTTGCATAAAATCTGCATCACACAAATGCAGTAAACTTAGGCCTGGCAGAAAAGAATGGTAAACAATTATACTGAAAAGTAACTACAGTTATAATTGAAATTCTGCCTGTCAGCCATAATGAGCTGCTTAGATAAATTTATGAAACAAACTAGGCAGAGCCTTGGTCAGACCAGTGCCTGGTGCCATGTTAGAAGAAAACTCTTCTCCTAATTAACATCACCATTTTATTCTCCTGTAGCCTAATGCTGGAAAGAGATCTCATGGTAAGCATGCAGTCTGAATTGTCACCCAAAATACTATGGCAGCATCTGCTACAATAATATTTTTAATTGCCAGCAGGTTACAGGTCTTCTGGCTTGAATTTAACAATCACTTTGCCATCACATCACAAATCTAGTAAATAGTCAATTATTTGCCTTTTCAAGTGGATTTCATACTCAGCCATTCTTCTCAATCCTATCAGCAAAATCTTGCTATTAGTATTAAGAAGAATTGCTGTTTTCAGATCACCATGAATTGTCAACCTGTATTCAAACAAAGACGTGTGAGGTTTTCAGATGTACCAAAATTACTATTCTATCACAATAAACCAGATCCAAGATTATCTGGTGAGCCTGTCACACACAATAGGAAAGATTACGTATCTTGCTAAGACCAATCTGTTAAATTGTGAAAAAATTGCATGGAATCCATCAAAGCCATGTTTTATTTGCTAGATGACATGGCAATGCAGATAGAAGGCTAAGACTTCTATTTTTTGTATAACTATATACATATTTACAATTAGTTACACATACACACTTATGTACATGTAAGTACAATTCCCTCTCCTAAAGGCACATCATCTTTTGACAAGTACCATGTTTTTGTATGAAGTAATAAACATCTGCTCCCCATTTTACTGAAAATATGTGATTTCATGTGACAGCTTTGATAACTGTTTTCACAGTAGCAACCAACATCCTTTATGTGTTGCCTGGTGGTGTCTTTGCTTTGCTTCCCTGTGAATACTATGCATGCTGAGAGTCACTTTGGGGATGCATCCAGCTAACCTCTGTTTCTTCCAATTGGAAATACACTCACTGTCCAAATCCCAAAGCCCTCAGTATATTTTCTTGAACACATCTACAAAGCAGCTGAAGAGACCTTCTGATTATGCTCAATTAGATAAACTAGCATAGCAAATAAAACATTTGAACCCTCTTCCATTTAAATATAATTTCACATATAGAATAACATTCATAACAGAGGCATCACCTAAATGCTACTCCAGATATGAAGGAAGATAGGAAACTAAATTTGAATATTTCTTGATTCAGCAAGTAGCACCTCTGAGAGAAGCACTACATGGAGGTGGCTCAACCTTTCCACTCAGCATGACCACTGCAATGTTTTTCATTGCAGGACTTCTCAGTGAGTGTTATTTCAATCTTAGCAATTTTTGTCATTCATGTGAAAAAATATTTCAATTATTCATTCTATCCACAGTGGCAACTACGTGGATACGTATCTTTTCTGCTCTTTCCAGACAGTAACAAATATTAGCAATTTTCATATACTCCCTCACAAAGACTTCTGAACAGTAATCACGAACTGGTGAAGTTCAAAGATCATCTGAACTCGGGTATAACAGTTTGCTTTTCTTCATGACTTTATTGCACTTCTTGCAAAGCTTGTGTTTGCCCTGTTTCTTCCTTACAGCAGGTGATGGATGACACATGGCTGTGAAAGCACTTCCCCTTTTGAGGAACCACTGGAAACAATTCATAAGTCACAAGCATACAAGCAAGTTATGGTAACTTATAACAAAATAAAAGGAAAGTAACTCGTTGAATAGTCATCAAACAATTCTCCATTACCTCCCCAGGACACACAGTACAGGAAGACAAAGTTATTGTTCATTAGATGCATCACACTTTCCTTTTTCGCTGTGTGTGTGCACAGACAAGTGCCATTTCAATACATTGTCAGAACATAACTATCTGTGCAACTGCCTGAAGCAAAAATAACCATATAGATCTGATGAAAGAATTTTGAGACATTTACAAACAGTCCAGTTTGCTTGAATCTGCTTTTTGCATATTGGTATTTCCTAGTATACAATGATGCTTTTTAGCTGATAGATTTTAGTAAGTTATTCCAAATCAAACCCAAAAATATTTTGAAGTAAAATAGGCATGAATTAAACAACTTTCTGAGATAGGAAAAGTGAGGCATTTTTAAGATATACAGGGCCATTTGAGACCACTGAACTTTTACTATCATTTATGTAACCTCAAGCTACAAAAATTTTTCAAAAGATTACCCATGGTATGCCATTACTTTTGCAAAGGGTTTCTCACAGATGCTGGTGAAAGTTCAAAACACTTGACTTTATATATTTACCAGGAAAGTGATATTAAAATACAAGTGACCTTTCATTAGAGGTGGTCTCATGATGCAAAATACAAACATGGATCCAGGTTTAAATGGCTCGAACTTTCACTGGAGTCTTGGTTCAGCCATTATAAATGTCAAGGCTATTTGCAAAATTAAGATTGAGGTTTGAATATCAATGTATGCATCAAGTTCAGGGGTTTAGGGGCCTGGTTATATGCTTCAGAACTATCCCGAATGTTCTTAGTTATTGTATCATCAATAGTGAATAATTTCCTGACATATTACTTTAAAAAGCATTAACCTTCATGCAGAATAAAGAAACAGGTCTGCAGTAAGAATGGCTTAAAAAATGGCAAAATCAGGTAGAACAGATGAAGAACCACGTCAAACTTGTACTGCAAAGAAGCAAAGATGCAGACAGGAGCATCAATTTTTTATAATTAACAAGTGTCACACATTAGATTTCAGAAGAACCACAGAATATATTTTGAGCCACTAGAGACAACAAATACTTTGATATTAGTGAAAAAGGTACATTGTACTCACCATCCATGAAAGCTTGAACAGTCTTGTCTACATTGTTATCAAATTGCTGCAACACCAGAACTATCTCATTATTGCTTTTGTTTGGAACAATTGATCGGATTGCATTGATCTGTAAGTAAAGGAAGACAATCATAAATTTATCAGACTCCTTTTAGACTATAAGGTACCTCTGTGCCAATGCATGTTTATATAAATGCCTATTACACTGATGTGCTCACGAGCACACAGCAATGTATCTATCTGCACAAAGCAATTCCCATCCTATCCTCACCCAGCCATGCAAATAATGAAGCAGTTTCTTCATTACATCAATTCTCCTACTCTCAGTCACAGCAGAAGAACTACCTTAATTCAACTAACAGAATTCAGTCTTACGCTTCTTTCCTAAATGGTCTATTTGCTGCCAAGTGTCTCAACGTATCACCTACGCAAATTTAGTGAGCACACAACTTTGTCAACAAGAGTCTTGCATGGCCTTTCTACATCAAAGTTATGACTGATTTTTTTGGCATCTGAAAAATAGTCAGAGGCTAAAAGAGAACAGTATAATTTTTAAAAGTTCTAGTGGCTGCTCAACATTATTTCAGTTTGCTGTTCCATATACAAGTGACCAGGAAGCTTGTGTAATCCTAAACAAAGGACATGGGATGCCAAATGCTTCGTTCGGGAAACTGCTAATGGATGAGGTGTTACACCCACAGATGACTCTGGCATGCAATGCTTAAATTTCACAGCATTTGCTACTGCTATACTGTCAGTATCCAATGATACCAAATGGAATTCAACTCGGGATGCTTTAATAAAATATTCCTACTGGAATCACACTATAATTCATTTTCTCATCCCTATATATTATAGTTGAAAGCAAATAGTTACAGGCAACTTTTTTGCTAGTTTATTTTAATGCTATAAAAAATTTACTAGATCAGACCAAAATAAAAATATTTAAACATAATTAGCAAAACAAAAGCCTATGATAAAAAATTAGAGACTCTGCCAAACCAGATCATTTGTTCCAAATTAGCTTTATGAGCTTCCCTGTCAAGATATCCAGCAAGTACTTACAATCAGAAACTTGTTATTGTCCTGCAAATGTTTATCTGGCACCCTCCTTTGTTATCTTTCTGTGGGAATACATCCTTGATTAGGTGTACTTTATTTACTGCATCCCAATATCATCATGCTAATTGTGAAGCAGTGTGGTCTTTTTATTGTACTGTGAAATATAATTTCGAAAAAGTAATACATGAAGGTAGAGCTGTTTAAGGGCATTAGGCTGGCTCGCATGGCAAAAACATTCATACTACCTTGTCTTAGCTGCCCAGTTAGGTGCTGAAGGACAATCTCTATGGAGTCTCCATCAACGAGGACATCAGAAGGTGATTGAGAGCATTCAAGTGCTCAGATTTGACCAACAAAATCTTGTTTTGCTGTAGTATGTTCACCCCACTCCTCAACCACTGTGTTTTCCTGTCCTATATTCTACCATAAACCAGGAATCACGGCATGCTCTCCCAATGCACTGATGGGACAGCTCAGATTCCTGACGCCCACTGAACTCAGCGTCAGAAGTGCAAAGGCTCATGCTTGGCTTCAGTACATGTTAGTACAGTTACTTAGGATGATTTACTGTGCTCCTGTCCACCATCCTATCACACCCCTATCTGCAGCTTCACATATGCCCACAGCACCTCTTAGGTAGCAAGTCTAGCCTTGGATAGTCCAGGCCAAACCCATAATTTAGAAGGCAGTGGAGTTGAGTGCTCATCTACTTCCCGAGGACCCTTTCCCAAAGGCCTATCCCATTGTCTGTTTAATGTTGCCATGCTGTGACTGAACCAGGCTGGCCCACAAGCTCGGTCCCTAGCCAACAGAGGCTGCTTCAGACTATCTACTAAACAGGGGTAACTTTATGTTGAAGTTCATACAGACCAGGCTGACAAGTGGACTTCTTGAACCAGAGGTGGTGTTGCCAGAAACTATACAGAAAATCTCCTGCCTGCTCAAGTTTCTCTCTTCAGCTGACATGCATGCATGGAGAAGAAAGTAATGAGTATAGCTCTCCACTATGTACTGCAGGCAGCCAAGTGAAAACTAACCCAAATCACTAGGATGTGAAAAGAATGCACTGGAAAAAGGAGTTAATTAATCTAGTGATTGTGGGCACAGGCATGCTATTTAATGATAAAGCTGCAACAAGTGTGAACTGAGGTGGCTCCACAATAAAAGTTGGCAAAGACACTAAGAGCAGGCCACAAGCTGCAGTCATTTTATGTTCAAGCTCACAGCTCTCAAATATTTTCACCATGTGGATTACATCTTCATATTCTCACAAAAAATTCCCCTCTTCTTTCACAATCATGTGAATCGTCTCTCTGCCTACTCAAAATTGCATAATCTCCTTGTGGTAACTGCTTACAGGAAAAATAGTAAAAGAAATATCTAGAGTATTCTAACTAACTTTAAACAAGCACAAGGATTTCACATGGCTTCTAGGTCCTACTTTGCTATGAAAGGTCTGCAAGACTCAGGAAGCATCTGGAAACAACCAAGTGAGGCTAAGACCTCACTCAGGCAATTCACCACACAGTGCACTTTGGAAAGTTATTAAAAACAAGAAGAATATCTGTAGGGTAGAGGACATTGACACACAAGAACTCAACCACGCAGGCCATATTTCAGACTCCAAAATCAGCTGGAGACTTTCCGTTTGTACTGTGTGATATTTGTTAAGAATTTTTTCATTATAGAAAAATCAGAATTCAAAGCTAAACTATGTTTCATCCAACTAATACTATAATTAAATACAAAAAGGTTATGGAAATATTCTAGTTGTGGAGATAACAAAAACAAAACAAAACACCACGATGATGATCTTAGGACAAATGCTTAACAAATTTAGCATATGACAAGACTGTGGACACAGCCCTGGTTTAGTTGGACTACTAAAAAATTTGATGTAGTGAATTAATATACTGTAAAACTCAACAGTTCTACTGCCAAAACCCAACACTCTTTTTTGTTGACTGTTGCATAAAATATACATTTGTTTACCTATTTGGAAAATATAAAATTTTGAGTTTAATGAAATAATTCCTCAGGAAAAGAACATCAGATTGCAAATTATATGATCCAAGACCTAGGAAATACCAAATCAGAAGCTGCTTAGAATTTTTTGTCTGCTTCTCTTACGTATGTACTCTGTGATACCCAGGATACCTACAGGCTAAGAGTTTCTTCTTTCCAGATTTGTGCCGTGATTTATGTGGGTAAGTAGATGAAAACCAAAATTTGCAATCAGTAGGATGCATCAAAATTATTACATACATACATATATAAAACCATCTCAGTTCAGAACCAAAAGAACAGAGATCCCAAAACATTTTGCTCCAAATTATTTTGTCTTTTAAAGTTTTAGGAACAAAATCAATAGGCATTGTGTTACCATACTTCTGGAATTTTAAAGATCTGTGTGCCAGACAACAAGTCTACAACACAGTTGCACTGTTTTACCAATATTTTAATCCAGAATACATTAGAACTGTTGTTTACAGGCAATGAAAATGTCACCAATATCCGGACAGAAATTACTGACATGTGGCTACAAGACTCAGATTGTGACCTGATAGTATATCTGGGAGGACAAGGTATATGGAAGGAGACCAGGCTATATCACAGCCTTCTCCTAGAAATGGAAATTTCAAGGTCCCTGATATTCTACCCCTTAGTCCTTTAACCCTGATTTCAAATATATATGTAAATTTCTAGGTCTGAAGCTCAGCTCTGTCCCCTCATACAAAAAGTGTCCCATTTGTTTCCAGAAAGGGACCTAGTGATAAAAAAGAAAAAGCCAAAGGGAAGGATGAGAAACTTCCTGACAGCACAGGCCTAGCACAAATGCACTTCTCCAACTGCAGGTCGTAAGAGACCTAACACAGACTGTGATGAACAGAAGCACAGCAAAGCTCCAGGAATGCCTGACAAATGCAAGAAGACAAGGTGGACTTACACTGAAGGGATCAGTGTGATCTGGGTCTAGCCACTCCAGGTATGCTGGCTCCTCTCTGGTTCACCTGCTAGCTCAGGTGATGAATCAGCCCTTGTGCTAGTACAGCTATACACCCCACCTGCTTACAAACCTAAGCAGGTCTGTAAGCTACTTACAGCTACTTGAGAGAAGTCCACCACTTCCCAATCCAAAAAACTCTATAGAGCTCATTTTTATTACAGATGTGATAGGATAATGCCAGGGCAGGATGTAACTCCTATCTTTCTCTTTCTAAACTGACAGTCCTCAAATGCAGCAAGAATATTAATCTTCTTAACATTTAATAAACAGATGATGCAACTAGAATCATCTGGTATTTATGACTTCTCAACAACAAACTCCTTTAAAAAATATTTAGCATCCTAAAGTATGAAACAAAGTACCAGAGCAAAAGAAACTCTTACCAGGCAATAGTACTGCTTTAATGCCATTCTGCAAGGGCTAACAAAGCAGTCTACTTTATTAGATGTCCATTTATGTGGGAGAAAACATTTTTTTCCCTACTTACTGAAACCTGATCATAGGACAAACAGCATTACCAGACTATAATTATTTTGTGAAACATCCTGTTTCTATCAGTGTAGATTCCCAGTGAACTGCTGTCATCATCTGGATGCTAGACAGCATTCCAGACACCAAGAGAATTCAGTAACATACCTTCAGAACCACAGATAATTAATGCTATTAATGTCAGCATTAGTTGAGAATCTGTCACTGATGGCAGTTAAATTCCTGGGCTTTCCCTCCTGTAGCCTAACAGGAAAACACATTACTTTGTTTACTAAGAAAACTTTCTCAGAATTTCAGCTTACAGAAACTACTTTAAAGCAATCACAGATCTAAAATATCAATCTGTGATCTTGAAAAAAACTGTATACAGTCAGGAACATGAAAGTCAGAACCCAGGTCCACCTCCATTTAAACCCATGATCCAGAGCTCAAGTCCTGCTAATGCTTGCTGCAATTTGAGCCAGACTGTGTCTCATCAGGACCAGAATTCCACAGTCATGAGGATGTTTTTATCTGTCTCCTACAAAATATGTTGAAGACTGCCCAGAAGT